TATTATTTCTATTCTTGTAAAAGGTGATGTGCCTTAATGCCATTTCATTTGATTTCCTATGTCGAGACATTTGTATTCAGCTCAAATGTTTTCTTCTCAGAGACTTATTTATTTATATCAGTGATGCTGATTTTCTTCAGAGTATCTGTTTCTTTAGTATTTCTTCTGTATATTTTTTACATGTTTTGTACCTACACTTGTTGTTGATTCTACTAGATAGATAGTAATTGTAATGATAAAACATGTTATTGCATGGTATAGTGCATGGCAGGTTTGACATTCTTGGTTTCACCTTGGACTGCAGCCTTGTTGAAACCAGGAGTGTCACAAAAAATGACCAAAAATAATGGGTTATCGCTCATAAAGTTTGAAGCTTAGACTCCACGAAATTATTAGCGAATAAGCCGAAACGAATAAAAATGGTTAGAATCATATGTTATAACTCATGAAATCATAAATTTTATACTACGTAAAATAAATTTCCAACGGGTCAAGACATCTAAAGAAACCAAAATTATGGGGTTATAGTTTATGAAATCATGATTTTTTGCCTTCATAAAATTATTTGTCAATAGGTTAAAACGACTAAAAATGGCCAAAATCATAGGCTATAACATTAAAATTATGAATTTTAGACTACGAAAAATTATTTGCCTTGCCAAAAATCTAACCTATGCAATTGTGAATTTTAAACTCCATAAAATTATCTGCCAAAGGTTCAAAGTAAATAAAAATAGTCAAAAACTATGGGTAATAGCTTATGAAATAATGATCTTTGGGCTCCGAGAATTTTTTTACAAATAGGTCGAATCAACTAAAAATGACTAAAAACTTTTAGGTTATAGCTGATGAAATCGTGAATTTTAGACTCAGCAAAATTATTTTCTAATAGGATGAAATAAATAAAAACAATCAAAAAGGTACTTTATAGCTCATGAAAGCATGAAATTTAGACAACAAAATTATTTATCAACATGTCTATATGACTAAAATTGCCAAAAAATCACGGGCTATAGCACATGAAATCGTGAATTTTAGACTTTATAATAATATTTGCCAGATGGTTGTAGTGAATAAACGTAGCCAAAAATCATGGGTAGCTCGAATTTTAGAGTATGTGATATTATTTTCCACTATGTGAAATGAACAAAAATGACTGAAAATAATTGCTTATAGCTCATTGAATTATGAATTTTGGACACTATAAATGTATTTGCCAAAAGTCAAAACAAATAAAAATGACCAAAAATTGTAGGTATTAACTCATAAAATCATGAATTTTTTCGTGTGTGAAATTATTTTCTAATGAGTCTAAAAATAACAAAAATCGTGGGTAATAACTCATGAAACCATAATTTTTGGCCTTTGCAAAATTCTTTGCAAATAGGTCGAAGCGAATAAAATAGGTTAAAATCATGGGTAATGGCTAATGAAATAATAATTTTTCCCTCTACGAAATGTTTTGCCAATGGCCGAAAATAACAAAAAATAACCAAAAATCATAGGTTATAACTCATGAAATCATGAATTTTGAATTCAATAAATTATTTTCTAATGTGATGAAGTGAATAAAATGGCTAGAAGACATGGGTTATATCTCATAAAACCAAGAATGTTGGACTCCTTGAAATTATTTACAATAGATCAAGATTACTAAAATAGCCAAAAAAAATCGGGAGTTATAGCTCATAAAACAGTAAATTTTAAATACCGCAATATAAGCCAATGAATTGAAGCGAATAAAACTAGCCAAAAATCATGAGTATCTTGAATTTTAGATTCGGTAAAATTATTTTCCAGAAACAAATAAAAAATGGTCAAATATCATGGTTATAACTCATACAATCATGAATTTTAAACTCCATTAAATTAGTTGCCAATAAATCAAAATAAAAAGAAATAGTAAAAATTTGTAGATAATAGCTCATAAAATTATGAATTTTTTATTGTGTGAACTTATTTTCTAATGTGTCGAAACAACTAAAAATAATTAAATCATGGATTATAACTCATAAAATCGTGAAATATGGACCCTAAAAAATGATTTATCAATCTTCGAAATAACTGAAAATGACAAAAAATTATGGGTTATATCCCATGAAATCATGAAGTTTTGGCATCCATGAAATTACTTGCTAATGAGTTAGAATGACTTAAAATAACCAAAAAGCATGGGTTAACTCATAAAATCATGATTTTTTTGGCCTTTATGAAATTATTTACCAATGCGTCAAAATGACTAAAATTTGCCTAAAATCATAGTTCATAACTCATAACTCATAAAATTGTGAGCATTGTTCTTGGTGAAATTATTTGACTATAGGTCAAAAAGACTAAAATTGATCAAAAATTATGGGTTATAGCTCATAGAATTATTTTCCACTTGGTTGACGCAAATAACAATGGCTGAAAATCATGGGTAAGAACTCATGAATCATGATTCTTGACCTCAGAAAAATTATTTACCAATGGGTCAAAACAAACAAAAATAGTAAAAAATCGTGAGTTATAAGCTCATGACATCATGATTCTCGCTTTCAGGAAACTATCTTCTAATGGGTGGAAATGATAAAAAATGATCAAAAATTATGGATTATAGCTTATAAAATTATAAAATTTGGACTCTGTGAAACTATTTGGAATCAAAATGACTACAAAAGAACAAATCGTGGATTATACCTTAAGAAATTGTGAATTTTGGACTCCGCAAAATTATTTTCTAATTAGTCAAAGCAACTAAAAATAACCAAAGTCATGGGTTATATCGTATGAAATCTTAAATTTTAGACTCCATAAAATTATTTTTTTAATGAGTCAAAATGACTAAAAATATCCAAAATCACAGGTTATAGCTCATGAAATCATGATTTTTGGCCTATGCAAAATTATTTGTCAATGAGTAGAGGGCAGAAATATGGGTTATAGCCCATACAATTGTGAATTTTAGGCTAAATAAAATTAATAGCTAATGGATCAAAACCATTAAACATAGCTTAAAATTGTGGGTTATAGCTCATGAAATCATGATTGTTGACCTTTGTGAAATTATCTATCAATTGGTAGAAATGACTAAAAATAGCCAAAAAATCATGGATTATAGTTTATAAAATTATGAAATTTAGATTCCATGAAATTATTTGCCAATAGGTCAAAATGACTAAAAATGACTAAAATTTATGAGTTATAGCTCATGAAATCATAAATTTCGGACTCTACAAATTTATTTTTCTATTGGTTTGAGACTAAAATGGGCAAAAATCATGGATTATAGCTCCTAAAATTATGAATTTTGTATTACATAAAATTACTTGCTAATAAGTCAAAACTTCTAAAAATGGCAAAAGATTTAGCTTATGAAATTATGAATTTTAGACTCTATAAAATTAGTTAATAGTGGCTCGAAGTGAATAAAAATAACTAAAAACCGTGGGTGATAGCTTATGAAATAATAAGTTTAGGCCCTTGTGAAAATTTCCTCAATGGGTCAAAACAACAAAAAAATAGCTAAAAATTATGGATTATAGGCTTATAGCTTCTGAAACCATGAATTTTGGACTAAGTGAAATTATTTTCCAATGAAATGAAATGAGTGAAATTGTCAAAAATTATGAATTATGGCTCATGAAATCATGAATTTTGGACTCCCATAAATTATTCGTCAAAATGGCTAAAATATCTAAAAAATTATGGGTTATTGCTCATAAAATTGTAAATTTTGAAAGCCACAATATTATTCGCTAGTGAATTGAAGCAAAAAAAAAGGGGGAAAATCATGAGTACCTTAACTTTTAGAGAATCTTTACTACATGAAATTTGTTTCCAATGGATGAAACAACTAAAAATAACCAAAATCCTCAGTTATAAATCATGAAATATTGAATTTTGAACTCCTCAAAATAATTTATCAGCATGTCGAAACAACTAAAAATGACTAAAAAGTACGAGTTATAGCTTATGAAATCATGAAGTTTGTCATTCGTGAAATTATTTGCCAGAGGGTCGGAATAACTTTAAATATCCAAAAATCAGGGGTCATAGCTTAGGAAATCATGAACTTTTTTGCCTCCGCGAAATTATTTTCCAATTGGTCAAATTGACTAAAAATTGCCATAAATCATATGTCATAGCTCATAAAATTGTGAATTTTGATCTCCCTAAAATTATTTGTCAATGGGTAAAAATGACTAAAAATAACCAAATATCATGACTTATAGCTTATAAATATATATCCCAGTGGGTTGACACGAATAATTTTTTTTTAAATCATGGGTAATAGCTCACATATCATGATTCTTGATCTCTACAAAATTATTTGTCAATGGATCAAAACGAGTAAAAATGGTTAAAAATCATGAGTTAAAGCTCATAATATTGTTAAATTTGGGCACCTTGAAATTATTTGCTAATGGTTTAAAATGAACAAAAATAGCTAATAATTATGAGTTATAAGCTCATGAAATCATGATTCTTGACCTTCGCAAATTATTTCCCAATGGGTCAAAATGACTAAAAATGATAAAAAATTATGGTTTATAGCACATAAAATTAGGAAATTTTTATTCCATGATATTGTTTGCCAATGAGTTAAAACAACTAACAAGGCCAAAAAAAACTTGGGTTATAGCTCAAGTAATCATGAATTTTGGACTTCGCAAAATTATTTTCCAATGAGTAAACTGAAAATAACCAAAATCATGGGTTATAGATTATGAAATCGTGAATTTTAGGCTCCATAAAATTATTTTTCAATGGGTCACAATGACTAGAAATATTCAACGCAAGTAATTGGATATTGATTATGTTGTCATATGTTGGATTGAGTACTTTAACTTGTAGTCAAAATGGGCACTTCAATACCACAAATTTTCCCTCATTTGCCACTTATATATACCATGACTTGTTTAAAATCAGGCACATTTATTATTGATCATGCAAACATCAAAATTTTTATCTAAATACTCCCATATGATGCTAACATGTTAATTTTATTCCTTTCAATATAAACAAGAACAAGGGATTAATCTCATTCATGATAAACAAGAACGGAAACAAAAAAAATTGACCATGCTCTTGCTCACGCGTTAAACCATGAGTAATTATAAGTTGCACACCAGTTATTTGAAGCAAATAAACAACAAGAATGTCATTTACTTCCTAGAACATTTATTCATCACTTCCAAGCAAAGGTGGCTCCCTCAAATTCATGGTTTCTTTTTACTGCCTCATGGAAAATTTAAATAGAAAATAAAAAAATAATAACCACACCAGGAAATCTCTATGCAGCCTGAGCACCGAGTTCCAGGAGGAGAGTGTGGTTGAGATCATTGGAGCCGGGGCCAATAAACTGAATGGGGCCTGCCCAAGAATTTGTCGTTACATACAGTATTAGCCTTTGAAATAGTAGTGATAATTTGTGAAGTGATTTCACAACGAATAGTGATAAGATACCTGGGCTGATGTATCTATTCTTGACGGCCCATTCTTCACGCATGGATGCGAACTTTCTGAATGGTGCACCTGAGATTTCAATTACGAAAAAGGGTCGACGTCATAGAATATCAGTACAAAAGAAAATGAACATGGAAAGCGCACTGCAAGGAATATAATATATTATATATATATATATATTATATATATATATATATATATATATATATATATATTAGTAGATATATATATATATATATATATATATATATTATATATTATATGAAGGATGAGAGGCAAATCTACCTTCAAGCTCGACCATAGCCTTCTTGATCACTGGCTTGAATTTACCTGGAAGGCACACAGTTCTTAGAATGCGATTACATGAAATAGAACTAAGTTTACTACTACTACTGGTTGAGCTTAAATAAGAAGAATAATACAAAAGTTGATGAAAAATATTTATGATTTTCTAGTGTAGTCAAAATACAGCTTGCATTTGCAACTTGTGGATTTCGAGATATAATGCGCTTTTACTCTTAGCAGGACTTGACCACAGGGCAAGAATATCATGTTTGTGCCCACATTTTGATACTTAATGGCATGACTTCGAGTTATCCTGCTTCTAGTGAATTGCATGGGCTTTCTAGTCTACAAATTATACATTAGATAGCTCAATCTTGAATTTCATACATTTTCAAAGTTTATGGAGTACAAGGTTAAAATTATGAGGCTCATAAAAATAAGGAGCTGACTACGCTTTGACTAGGTTTGAATCTGAGTTTCACAGGAGAAGTGATTCACCTCGGCCTGTTGCCAGACTCGACAAAGAAATATGCACTGAACCCAACGTGTCTACCATGATGATCTTAAAATTGAGAGGAATGGTGTTGAATGGGCATTAACTTAAGCTTGTACCCGAGTCTAAGATGATAATGTTTCATCTGAGCCCGCTGTCAGACTTGAGCACAGTGTACTAAACCTGATTTGTTCCAACTTTCAAGTTATTCAGATAGGGCTATTTTTAAGTAGAGAATTTCAGGTTCATAGCATGACTCAATAGTAGAGGAGATGTGGTAACAAGATGTGAAAACCATAAAGAGTAAAACTCTGCATCTCAATTCCTTTGGTCTGCCATAAGAATCCTCGCAACCGTATTTAGCTATAATAATAAAATGGAGAAAAATAAGATAGGTTACCCAATATTTAGATGGACAATTTAAATGTGAATTTTGCATAGTAGAAAGGAAGAAAAGAGAGGAAGAAAAATATAACGTGTACTTAAACATGTAACTCGAGCTTCAAACATAAATAATGTCCTACTCCTGGAAAAACAAATAGTAATCATTTGACGGACATACCATGACGCCTCTCAACATCCATTAATGCAGTAAGTGCAGTGCCTCCAACAGTCCACTCTTCAACAGGGGCACATAAGTTGCCAACCTGAACAAAAAAGATACACAATATGGCAAAAGAAACATTTAATGAAATGCAAATGTTCAACATATAAAAGATGCATCATACATGCATGGGTGGATCCACCTACAGGGAAGCGGTGTCACGTGACACCACTTCCCTTGGGATCTCTTGTTTGCTGCCTGATTTGCAAACAGGCCCGTACAAGTAATTGGTCAGTGCCTTGATTTTCAAGCAGGCGCAATCCCAAACCAAATGAAATTTCTTCGTTGCCTTACCCCAATATTAGAGATAGTTACGTTTTAGTAATGGAGAGTATGTGGAGCCACTTGATTATAGTCTAGTTTGGCTAGGTGAAGAGTTAAAAAGAGTTTTTTTCTGCATTAAATTTAAAGAGTTGGCACTTCTGAAGTGGACATAGGCATATTGTAAAACCATATAAATATTTGAATTCTTTGTGTTTGCTTTTGATAGAGTATTTCCACTGTTATATACCCAACTGATTAATCTAATCACATTAGGTTTCTTATATATCCTATAGGTTGATTTTAAAATGCAATTATATATTTGATAGTATTATTGATGACATATTTGATAGCGTTACCTATTATGAGATATTGAGAATATATTTTTTTTCTCAGAATATGAAAAACTTTCAGGGACAACTAAAAATTAATTATTCTTATATGGTGAGAGCACTTCCCAGTAATCCTGGATCTGCCACTGCATACATGCTAAGAAGTTCAAATACTCACAGTGAAAGATATTTCAAAAAAAACAATAATTGTATTATAACAAAGGCTTGCATCCAAGTAAGTTCAGAAGAAATGTATACATAAACAAAATTATGACAAGAACAGCTATCTTTCATAAATAGGACAAGCAAAGATCAGCAAGCAATGATGGTCAAATACTCACAGTGAAAGATATTAAAAAAAAACAATAATTGTATTGTAACAAAGGCTTGCATCAAAGAAGTTCAGAAGAAATGTACACATAAACAAAATTATGTCAAGAAAAGTGTCTTTCATAAATAGTGCAAGCAAAGATCAGCAAGCAATGATGGTCAATGTAGTCTTATCTAGAGGTGTACGCAGAAGAATCAATATAAATTTTCAAAGAGAAGTGATAGAAGCACAAACTGAGGAAATGAGGCCAGTCTTTCCAGAATGTAGGAGAGCTCCTGCAGCATAACCCAACGCATAGCAATAGGTGGAATCAAAATTTGTAGGCAAACCACATCTTCCTTCATAACTGCAAGTTGACCTCAATTATTGATATGAGATGAAATATAATGATGAAAAGGAAAGTACTAATGAAGTCGTTTGACTTTAATGATGGAAATAGCAAACTCAATCAAGTGGATGCTCCGAAACTCTAGTTAAAAATTTATTGATAAAAACAAGATGTTCAACCAATGAATTCTTAAAGCAGAAAAAAAAGGATTTGCATCTTTAGTAAAAGCAAATGGATAAATGACGTCAGTAGTTACCCAAAAAAGTGAGACTGTCCTTTAAATTGTCCTTTATATTTTCCCTCTGACTTCCTTTTCTCCAACTCAGTTTCAGCCATCGAAATAAGCATCTTTTCAGTTTCTATTTTGGCAACCTGGTCATTAAGAAAGAAACATTCAGCAAAAAGTATTTCCGATTTCCTCTAAGTAAGATTAAGAATAGCCAAGCAAAAGATAATAAACTTTAAGTACCTGCACATTTCCATGTGGGTCTCTTTCTAACATCAGTTGCTCCTGGATTGCTTGGGGAAGAAAATCAAACAGAACTTGAGATTGTTGTCGTAGCTTCTTTTTCCACAACCCACCTTCATCTACAATATCATGGGCTAGGATTTCATTTAGTTCTGAAA